GGGGCCTGCAGTCCGCGGGGCGCAGAGAGGCGGCACGGCTGAGCGTCTCAGCACCGCAGCGCTCCCCAGAAGTTCCTACCGGGTCTGTTCTTTTGGGGACTGCGTCACCTTCGTCTGAGGGCACAGACATTTTTCTCGAAGTAAAAGCAACTCGGGAAAGCCGTTATGCGGAGCACTGCATGTGTCGGTGCCCTCGCCCGCCCCTTGGTCCGCCGCGCTCGCCCGCTGGGCCGTGCGCGCCGTGTCCGGGCTTCTGCCTCTGCCCGCCTGCCCGCCGTCGGTCCGGCCGTCCGTGGCTCCACCCGACCGGCTGAGCGCGGTCGCCGCCTCCACTCTGCGAACCTGGGGTCAAGCCCGCAAACACCGCTGGGCATTTGCGCTGCGCACTGTTCCCAGTGCAGGTATTACCGTTACCATTTCATACACAGGAATGACCCTCTCAGGTGCTATTATTACTCCTGTTTTACAGATGAGGAAGCTAGAAGCGCAGGGAGGCCCTTTACTTGATCTGTGAAAATTTCCCATGATACTTCTGTGAGCAACAAAGATGACACCTGTGTCGAAGTACAGTGCATTTCACTCTCGTCTGCTTTGTAACAAGGCTCCAAGAACGTTTGTTGGATGATTGAGTAATTATTTCTGAAATGTACCATGTTTTGTGTAGGTAGAACCCCCAGAATAACGTGGAGTATAAATATAATAAGCACTGTGTCTATAACTCAGTAGCCACCCCCTAACATATTCTAGTTTCCTTCTTCTTCCCTTTTCCTCTTAATTTCAAAATCACAACCATTGTCTGATTGACTGTCTTTAAAAGGTCATGATGAATTATTCTGTAATATTTGAAATGTTATGCTTAGAAAGGTCAAACCTTATTTTTTTTGGTATGAAGTACCACATAGGTTTGTTTTTCCTGGGCATTTTTCTCTTTTTTCAAAGAAAGATGGCAAGAGATTTAGAGCAGGGTGCCCTCTTGAGGAAATTTTAGTACCTTCTCAAAAACTGGAACTGGCACTGGGTGAAGTGAAAAAATCCAGATAAATGATGTCCACTATGAATGAAGTGCTCTGATAAATAAGTACTAGTAAATAAGAGTAACCAAATACCACATATTTGAGAATTAATATTCTTACTGTTATGCACTAATTTAGCAACTGTCACTAAGTTTTAAATAAAAACAAAAAGCTCTGGAAGATATTTTACTTCCTGTTATTCACTCAGTCCTTCGAGGAACATTTATTAAGCACCTAGTCTGTGCTAGGAACATGCCGAGCACAGTGGTCAATAAAACATAGCCTCTGCCTTCATGATGCTCTCTGCTTGTGAGGAAGATCTCAGCAAAGAGAAATTAACAGGTATATATGTACCTACAAACTGGGGAGAGTGCTGTGAAGGAAATGAAAAGATTCTGCAATAAAGAAGAAGAAAATAAGTTTTCCCTCGGGAGGTCAAGGAAAACCGCCCCGAATGGAAATAACCGAGCTGCATCCTCGTCTTTCAGTCCATTCCAGGTTTGCCTGTCTACGTAGACAGCCTCATGGGCCCTTGTCCTAGTCTTCGCCCTTGTTTCAGCCTCTGCCCTGGAGCTGAGTTGACTCCTGCCTCTGTGCCTGCCTCTGAGGCAAGCAGACAAGCCTCATTCTTTCCTCACCTCCCTGCTGCCTTAGAGCCTCACGTTCATTACGGTGGGGGTGGGGCTGCTCAATTAATAAGTGTCTTCCCTATTAATACTGATAGCCCCTGATAGTAGACCATTGAAGCATTGTAATTATATTACTTAACAGCCACATTTCCAACAATGTTAAGGATGTAGACGGTGTCAGTTCAGTCCAGTCGCTCAGTCGTGTCCAACTCTTTGTGACCCCATGGACTGCAGCACACCAGGCTCCCCTGTCCATCACCAACTCCTGGAACTTGCTCAAGCTCATGTCCACTGAGTCGGTGATGCCATCCAACCATCTCATCCTCTGTCATCCCCTTCCCCTCCCGCTTTCAATCTTTCCCAGCATCAGGGTCTTTTCCAGTGAATCAACTCTTCACATCAGGTGGCCAAAGTATTGGAGTTTTAGCTTCAGCATCAGTCCTTCCAGTGAATATTCAGGACTGATTTCTTTAGGATGGACTGGTTGCATCTCCTTGCAGTTCAAGGGACTCTCAAGAGTCTTCTCCAACACCACAGTTCAAAATCATCAATTCTTTGAAGCTCAGCTTTCTTTATAGTCCAAATCTCACATCTGTACATGACTACTAGAAAAACCATTTCTTTGACTAGATGGACCTTTATTGGCACAGAAATGTCTGCTTTTCAATATGCTGTCTAGGTTTGTCATAGCTTTTCTTCCAAAGAGCAGGCATGTTTAATTTCACAGCTGCAGTCACTATCTGCAGTGATTTTGGAGCCCAAAAAAATAAAGTCAGTCACTGTTTCCATTGTTTCCCCATCTATTTGCCATGAAGTGATGGGACCAGATGCCATGATCTTAGTTCTCTGAATGTGAGTTTAAGCCTATTTTTTCACTCTTCTCTTTTACTTTCATCAAGAGGCTCTTTAGTCCTTTGCTTTCTGCCATAAGTGTGGTGTCATCTGCATGTCGGAGGTTTCTGATATTTTTCCTGGTGACCTTGATTCCAGCTTGTGTTTCATCCAGCCCAGCATTTCACATGATATACTCTGCATATAAATTAAATATACAGCCTTGACCTACTCCTTTCCCAGTTTGGAACCAGCATATTATTCCATGTCCAGTTCTAACTGTTGCTTCTTGACCTCCATACAGATTTCTCGAGAGGCAGGTCAGGTGGTCTGGTATTCCCATCTCTCTAAGAATTTTCCACAGTCTTTTGGGATCCACACAGTCAAAGGCTTTGGCCTAGTCAGTAAAGCAGAAGTAGATGTTTTTCTGGAACTCTCTTGCTTTTTTGATGATCCAGCGGATGTTGGCAATTTGATCTCTGGTTCCTCTGCCTTTTCTAAATCAAACTTGAACATATGGAAGTTCACGGTTCACGTACTGTTGAAGCCTGGCTTGGAGAATTTTGAGCATTGCTTTACTAGCGTGTGAAATGAGTGCAATTGTGCAGTAGTTTGAACATTCTTTGGCATCTTCGCATCCTGGAATGAGAAGTCAAGTGGGCCTTAGGAAGTATCATGACGAACAAAGCTAGTGGAGGTGATGGAATTCCAGTTGAGCTATTTCAAATCCTGAAAGATGATGCTGTGAAAGTGCTGCACTCAGTATGCAGGCAAATTTGGAAAACTCAGCAGTAGCCACCAGACTGGACAATGTCAGTTTTCATTCTAGTCCTAAAGAAAGCCAATGCCAAAGAGGGTCTCAGAAGATTAAAAACACAGGCTCCCTGCCTGCCACTATGTTTTGAGTAGAGAAAGAGAAATAGGCATGAGGACAGCAGAGAATTTGATCATGGAATATAGTTTGTTCATGTTGACTGAAATATATATGGAATCTAGAGAATGGTACTGGTGAACCTCTTCGCAGGGCAGGAATAAAGACATGGACATAGAGAACACACTGTGGACATGAAGAAGGGAAGGAGAGGGTGAGACAGACTGAGAAAGTAGCGTTGACACATACACACGACCACGTGTAAAGCAGACAGCTAGTGGGAAGCGGCTGTATCGCGCAGATTGCTCCGCTCAGCGCTCTGTGATGACCTCGATGGGTGCGGGGTGGGGGGGAGTTCGAGAGGGAGGGGAAGTATGTCTACTTGATTCATGTTGTTGTCCAGCAGAAACTAACACTGCATTGTAAAGCAATTACACTCCAATAAAAATGAAAGAAATAGAATGATCTATGATACCAAGCATATTGAAGTCTCCAATCAGAATTGGAAATATGGAAGTAGGTCTCAGGGAAGAGTTCAGAAGCACTACAGGCGTGCTGTCTGATGGTTGGCCTAAGTGCCATCATGTGCGTTAGTGGTTCAGTTGTGTCCGACTTTTTGTGACCCTATGGACTATAGCCCACCAAGCTACTCTGTCCATGGAATTCTTGGCAAAAATGCTGGATTGGGTTGCCACTCTCATCTTCAGGGGATTGTCCCAACCCAGGGATCGAACCTGGGTTTCCTGCATTGCAAGCGGATTCTTTACTGCCTGAGCCAGAAGGGCAGCCCAAGTACAATTACAGTCAATCCATCTGGAGAAGGAAGTTCAGCTAGCCCTTCGTTCTCCGGATGGATGGATTGTGCCAGATTGGAGGCTTTAACCTATGTGGGCAGCACTGCCTGCAGGCGGGTGGCCCACAGTGACTTCTGGGCTGGTGTTTATGTGACCATGTGAGTCTGGAGCCTGAACTGTGAGGAAGTTCCTTATACCTTACTTGTAACTGTAAATAGCTCTCTTCAAGAGCACTAATCACCTTCTTATTAACCAGTTGCCATGGAAAACCTATTTAACCCCTTTCAATCTCACTTCTCTCACCTCTAAATTAGGGTTAAAAATCTCTTTTTTACTTCACAAAGTTATTATACTTTGAATATAAATAATATATGCTGTGCTGGTTAGATTGTGCTGAAACTAATACATTCACATATTGTTGCTACTAGATAGCAATTTGAAAGATACACCAAAAACCATAAAATGCACAAACTCCTTTGACCCAGTAATTTTGTTCCTGGTAATTTATTCTATGGAAAAAAAAAAAAAAACTTAAGTGAAAAATCATACACATTGTAGCATTTTCTATTCAAAAAGTTATAAACAGTAATAGAATGATTAAATAAAATATCTTGCCTTAACACAATGAAATATTGACCAACCCCTAAGGAAACTATAGGTATGTAGAAAACAGTTGGGAAAAAAATGAACAAAATAAAACAACTGATAGTATAGTAGAATTTTAAGTATTTTTCCTTTTATTAATTTATCTGAATATTATTACTCCGGCAGAATAATTAAAATGCTTAAAGCAATTTAAAATTTAAAAAAAATTTTGGCTCCAAACTACATTTCTTCTTACTGTCTCTTATTTTTCATTTAGGGAAATTATCGTTTCATGAAGCTCTTACTTGCACGCAGAGCAAACTGGATGCAGAAGGATCTGGAAGAAATGACTCCTTTACACTTGACTACTCGGCACAAGAGCCCTAAATGTTTGGCGCTTCTGCTGAAGTTTATGGCACCAGGAGAAGTGGATACACAGGATAAAAACAAGGTAACAGACTGTCAGAGTCGAGGACAAGTAGAACAGAAAGCAAACACTTTATTTTATGATGTGACGCCTCAAGGAAGAAGGCCTCAATTACCGCTCGTTCGTGGTAGAACAATTCCAAATCTCCACATGCCCCAGAAAAGGATTTCACTTAAACTGTGTCCTGCCAGCAACCATAGTGTAGTGGGTAGCATCATCTTTTCACATTTGGGGAAACTGAAGCTCAAGAAGATTAAAATCCTACCAAAGATCCAAGTGCCAGGACTAGAATGTGAACCCAGGCCTGCCTAACTCCAACTCGTTATTTGACTGCTAGTCATGATAGTTGCCAACCCACTCCAGTGTTCCTGGAGAATCCCAGGGACGGGGGAGCCTGGTGGGCTGCTGTCTATGGGGTCGCTCAGAGTCGGACACGACTGAAGCGACTTAGCAGCAGCAGCATGATAGTTGCAATTTGTTGTGAGATTTGTGGTGACAAAACGCCCCCGGACAGTGTACTGAGTGCGTGCTTGCTTTAATGCCCTGGGCTTGGGCGCACTCTTCTTGGCTTTCAGTGTGGAAGCCACTGCTTGTTCTGTGTCCGTCAGCTTACTTAAGCTCTCTGAACCTCAGTTTTCCCATGTGCGAAAGGGGATGCCAGGGTTGTTGAAGAGAATGAGATAATGTATACCAAGTGTTTAGCACAGTGCTCAGTGCATAGTATGCTCTCAATAAATATTAACTGTAAAATTATTACTAATTTCATTTTGGTTATAATATTTGCTCTGACATTGTTATTGGGATTCATTATCTTCCCTGCTCTTGAATTCGAACGTGTTGTATACATTGGTCATTGTTTTGATCAACTTTCTGATTATTCTTTACAGGAAAAAAAATGTGGTCTTTAGTTAGACAAAGGCAGTCATCCTCTTTGTTTTTATCAGGCACTTTATCATAGAGTCTTACGAACTCCTGCATGCTCATGAAATTAAAACTCTTATAATTAAGTCTCTGGGTTGATACTCAATTGTCTTTTCACTCCCATAGTATTCTTAATGTGATTTTTAAATTTTGTTTGGTAGCCACTCATATAACCTGAAGTTCTGAGATCAGTTTTTTAAGTTTACAACTGCTATAAACTGATGTTATTCCTAACTCACAGCATTTGTAGTGCTAATATTTCACTGAGAATTCCCTGGGCATCCAGTGGTTGGGACTCTGCATTTTCACTGCTGAGAGCACGGGTTCTCTGGGTTGGGAACTATGATTCTGCAAGCCATGTGCTACGGCCAGAAAATAAATATTTCCCTGAAAAAACCACTTTGTTCAGTCCACAAAGATCCATTAATCGCTTGAGCAAAAGTGCTTTACTACGTTTATGCCAATGAGCAGATTGCTCATCTTCCTCATGCTCGGTTTCCTCATCCGTCACATGCAAGTTCAAGCGTGCTCATCCCCCGGAGCTGTCCTGACACGGACGGCAGGAGGGAGACTCAACGGAAGCCTCCCCGCAGCGCCCGTCGCGCAGCAGGAGTTGGGAGAAGCTTGTTGTGTTGTCACTGTCCTGTTGTCAAGGTCATTTTGAGACTCTCTCCGTTTTGCAGCAAACAGCTCTGCATTGGAGCGCCTACTACAACAACCCTGAGCATGTGAAGCTGCTCATCAAGCATGATTCTAACATTGGAATTCCTGATGTCGAAGGCAAGATCCCACTTCACTGGGCAGCCAACCACAAAGATCCAAGTGCTGTTCACACAGTACGATGCATTCTGGTAGGTGTAATGGACGGTCTTACCCCCAAAAGAGATTAGGCTATGAATTATCCACTGTACGCGGAAGCATTTTATAGCACACAAGCAAATTATGATGCAAAAGAGTACAGCAAAAAACATGTGAGCTCATCAGCAGGAAATAGAGCATTTTAATACTGTGATTTAAGGCCACACAGACATTTCCTACGTGCCTGCTTCCAAAGGCATTCTCTCTCCCTATGCCTTGCTCATTTCTGTCCCCATCGGTCACTTTTCTGAGTTCCTATTTATCATCCCTGACTTTGTTTTATACTTGTTCTTATCAAATAGTAAGTAGTTGTAAGTGAATAAATACATTTAAGATATAAGGAATAGGGAAACTTACATACTCATGACTGAGTGGAGCAGCCAGGTAAGTCGCTGTCTAAGTTCCCTGGGTACCTCCAAGCAGCAGTCTTTTCTCTCCTTTCTCAGAGGCAGCCACTACCCTCAATTTTGTGCTTATTATTCCACTGGTTTTCATTATAGTTTTGCCACATATGTTTGCATTCCTAAACAATGTACTGTTTCATTTTTAACATTTTTCCATTTTATATTCATAGAATCATCCTGAAAGTATTCTGCAACATCCTTTTGTTCAGTGTTAAGTTGGTGGCTTTAATCTGTGTTGCTGTGTGTAGCTGTAATATATTACTTTTTACTGCTATATGCCGAGTAGTATTCTATTTTTTGAAGATTAAATGACACACATTTTTCATTCTGTTATTGACAGACATCTGGAAGTGTTTCCAGTTTTTTGCTATTTACAACAGTGCTACTTTGAACCTTTTTTAAAAAGTCTATCTAGGGTATGAATTTAACTGGTTGTTGCAGGTATATAGAAATGCAGTTGATACTTTTGGCCATTAATTATATATCTAACCAACTTTCTGTACTTATGAATTTTGAATGTTTATCAGTAAATTCTTTGAGGTTTTTTAATCATTTCTTCCCAAATTACAACTTACATGCTGTGGTAATTGCATGTTTGGTCCTATTTGCTTGTAACATACAAATTAGACTTTTGAAGATATTATTGTTTTATTTATACAATGGTTAATTTATTTCTACTTGTATGTTAACTGATTCCTTTGCTGTGCATTTCTTCTTGGATCTCCAATTTGCCATCTAGGGTTATTACCTTTTTCCCTGAAATAGAATTCTTGGAACTCCTATTAGTATAGATGTATGGTAGTTAACTCCCTGATTAATTCAACTGTTAAGAATGTCTATGCTTCTACAATGCTCTTGAATATGTAGTTTTTCTGTATACATAATTCTAGGTAGTTACTTTTATCAGCTCTTTCAGACTGTTATTTTGCTGCTTTCTGCCTTTCACTGTTCCTCTTAAATAGTCTGTTATTTGTCTAATTGTAATCCCTTTATAGATTATCTTTTCTCTCAGGGTGGTTTTTAAAAATTTTCTATATAGTATTCTAGTTTTACACAGTGTGTCTAGTATGTGGTTTTTATTTTTTTTTTTCGTGTTTAGTATACATTCTGATGATCACATCTCAATTCTGGAAAATATATAACCATTATCTCAGTATTGCTTCTCTTTCATTCTCTCTACTCCTGCCTATGGCATCTGCAATAATACGTATTTTAGACCTTTCCATCTTACTTTCCACGTCTCTTAACTTTTCTTTTACATTTCTATCATCTTGTCCCACTCTGCTACATTCTGGGTTATTACATCAGGTCTGCCCTTACCAAGTCTTTCTCCAGCTGCATCCAGTCTTGTTTACACTATTTGTTTAGTCTTCAATCTTAGTGATTGTGTTTTCTAAAAGTTCTCCTAGGTTCTTTTTCAGAGCTGCCTGATCGTCTAGAGAGCGTTTTCCCATGCTTACTTTTTAATTTTTTAACTGTGCTGTGTGGCTTGTGGAATCTTAGTTCCCCCACCAAGGATCAAACCCATGCCCCCTGCATTGGAAGCACAGATTCTTAACCACTGGACTGCCAAGGAAGTCCCCATTTTTTATTTTCTTACGTGTTTTATCATTAGTTATTTTATATTCTTTTATGTGTTAACTCCAAAATCTGAGGTCTATGGAGGGTGATTCTCACGTATAATATCTTCCTTACAAATTTGGCTTTTTTCCCCCTCCTTTATAAGTGCATTTAAGTCCTTGGGAGACTCAACGTCCTAGAATGCCACCATGGTAATATTCTACTTCTTTTTTGAAGTGTTTTGTAATACCTCTCATACTGTTCTTTTATAAAATACGCTGACTGTATAGAGAGCTCGAAACCTGGAAAGTCCCTTCAGAGAGTTCTTAAGTTGGGACAGGAGGGCTTGACTTTGGGTATGACCTAATCTGAGAAGGGATCTGAGGTGGGTGAGGGAACTCTCTTCAGCTAAAGCAGTTCCAAAAAGCTGACAGGAGATTGTCTTTTGGCAGCACTTTCAGCAACCGTGGAGGTAGGAAGAATGTGGGGAAGGAGGACCTAAGCAGTGCATCATATCTCTACAAATATCCACGAGAAAAACACATAAATGTCGTGAACTGTCAGTTTAAACCAAAAATCTAATAACCATGTGATAAAAAATTTCAACCTCATTCATAAAAGGAATACAATTTAAAGCATCAGTGAAATGCTTTTCATACCTATAAGGGGAAAAACATTTTAAGTTTGATAATATCAAGTGGTTAATTTGTGCCAGCATGTGGGGAAATAAAAGCTTTTACACATTGTCATGGATGTGTTAATTAGAACAGCCATTTGGAGGGCAGTTTGACAATATCTAACTGAAGATGCAGATATCTTTCAACCCAGGAGTTTCCCTTCAAAGGGTCTGGGCTAGAGAAAAATCTCACATATATGCCACAAGGAGATATGTAAAGGAAGTGTGTTCCTTGCAGCATTTTTGTTAATAGTGGAAACAGTGTAAGTGACCTAAGTACCCTTCAGCAAGGCCTCCCCTGCTGGCTCAGACGGTGAAGAATCCGCCTGCAATGCCAGAGACCTGGGTTCCATCCCTGGGTTGGGAAGATCCCCTGGAGAAAGGAAAGGCAACCCAATCCAGTATTCTGGCCTGGAGAATCTCCATGAACAGAGGAGCCTTGTGGGCTACAGTCCACGGGGTTGCAAAGAGTTGGACACGACTGAGCGACTTTCAGGAGGATGGAGAACTAAACTGTGGTTTAACAAGTAGACTGGTATCATATTACAGATGCCCAAATGTATGGTGTTGAAATAAAAACACTCAAAAATATAAATTTGGAAAGGAAAAATTCAAGGATATACATGGTATAATGCATAAGTATAAATATTGAAAACATATACAAAATTTATCTATTGTTTATGGATGTATACAAAAGTACAAAACATATGGCTTTAGTTGAATCCATACAGATTAAAAAAGCACATTAGGAACTGTTGATTCCTATTTAATCTAGATAGTACAAGTACATTTATTTTTCTGTACTTTTTATAGTTAAATATGAAATTAAATTTTTTAAGATTTAGACTGTATACTTTTTTCTAAATTTTATCACTTCTGCTGAGAGAGAATATACAGGTTTCAAAAATTGCTCAGTTAATACTTACATCAAATGTGGCTTTTTTGAGGATTCTATGTATGTCTGAAGTCTCTGGTTCCTTAAAAATAGGATGCTGCTCCAACAGAGTCTTTACTGAACTGGCAAGACTACGAGGGTCGAACACCTCTTCACTTTGCAGTTGCTGATGGGAATGTGACAGTGGTTGATGTCTTGACCTCATACGAAAGCTGCAATATAACATCTTACGATAACTTATTTCGAACACCGCTTCACTGGGCAGCTTTGCTAGGTGAGTTGAATATGAAACCAAGGATCAACAGTAGGAGGAACTGCATGAGTATAGGAAATTTTCCATGGCTTCTCCCCCGCCCCCCCATCAACTCCCACCTCCTATTTAATTGTTTTAATTTTTAATTGATATGTAGTACTTTGTACCTAAATTTCTCTGTTGTATGCTTAAGTTTTTAACAATACAAATGTATTCTGTTATATGTTCATTTCAACATTATGTCTTAAAATTTTTATTATAAAACCAATGTACATTTGTTAACAAATGTAAAATAATCTTCACATTCAATGCCTTTGCTTTTATTGGAAAAGGGCTTTAACTTTATGTTTCAGCTAATACTATGATATTTGGTTTTCTTTTCTTCATATTTCCTGATGTGCTTTTTACTTAACATTTTTGGGGATCACTTTTTTATATGGAAGATTATATATGTGTATCTGTCTGAATTTTGGCAATCTGAGAGTCTCTCTTTTAGTGAAGGAGTTTTGCCCACTGACAGGCATTGTTACGAATTGTACAATTTGATCTTTTTTCTGTTATTCTGATCTTTGAGGATAGGTTTTTTCCCCCTTAATTTGGGGTTTTTTACTGATTTCTTTGTTTTCTGCCTTGTGATGTATGGATTACATTGTAGCTATCGAGTTTTGAATTTCCTAATGTTTCAGGAGGGTTTCTATGGTTTACTAGTAGTTACTTTTAAATTTATTAAAAGCTTTCTTAAGCCTAAGCCTGAGTCAAGAGCAAAACTTCCTTTACTGATTCCTATCTATTTAAAATGAGGAATTTGGCATACTTTCACTTATACTCTTTGGGTGTTTAATATGATCTGCCAGTTACTATTAATATTAATCATTATAAAAAGATTATTATTATAGACTTTGTTTTTAAATTACATGTTATCTCTTTTTTAAAATGATTCTTACATTTGCATTTGGTTTTATAGTCAGGTTTATAATTATTATTCAGTCTTCATTTCAGTGTTTCATTTCATTGCTTTTCCTCTGCATTTTTGCAAATTTGTCTGCATAGCACTAAACTGAATTTTCTTTTCATGAATTCTGCTTTCTTTCTGCCTCTTATAGATTATATTTTAGGCTAGATTTTGATTTCCTTCTATCATCCATATTTCTTTTTATCTCAGCTTTTTATATTTTTACCTCCTTCCATTACCCTTTCATTTTAGATTATCTTCTTCTTAGGATACTGTTTCACTTCATAGAGGCCATCTCTTTGTAAATGTCAAGGATGCCAAACTGTTGCCTGAAATTTTCTTCCGGATCCTTCTCTAGATCATTTTCTGAGGTATGCTCTTGTTCTTTCTGATGGTGTTCCTTTCCCCCTGTCTTAGAGTGTTTCCTTAAAAACTTTTCTGAATTTTTCTCCTTATCTCTCAAACAAGATGAGAGGTATTTAGATTGAGTGTGTGGCGTAAGTTGCCCTTGACCCCACTTTTGCCCATTTGTGTTATGGAGCACTCGATCTCAAACCACAGCTGGGGAGCAGGCAGAGGAGCAAACTCCCATGCCAATCCCTGTTTTTCTGCCTGGCATTCACACAGGGTATTCTTGTTCTGCTGATGTGGCTTCTGCCTCATTGCCTCACTCCGTGTACACTGAAGCAATGGCATGTATGAAATTCAGGTTTCCTAAAATGCTGTTACCAGGTCTGTTCGTTCTTTGATCCTTTCTAAAGTCCTTCACTTGGGGAGACCTCCTCCACATCCTCCAAAATGGACTGCAGGGCACTCTTTTCTACCAGCACCTCTCTATTCCTGTCCACTTCTGGGGTTTGGAATTCCTGCCTAGATGTTCGAACACTGGGGGAAGGAGATACGAAGCGATAGAAGGTGTCAGAGGTCACAGGAGACTGTGTCACAGCTGGTCCACCTGAAAAGCAGAAGAGAACAGCCATGCACTTCTGATTGGCTGTGCAGGAGAACTTGGAGACTGGGGACAGAGAGGGCCTGACTTCTGGCACCTTCCCTCCCTCTGGATGGGCAGTTTTATAAGGTGAACCAGGGGATGCAGTGAGCTGGTACCAAATACAGTTTTTTCTCAATCTGGCAATTATGATTAGTCATTTCCTTGTTGATCAAAGCAATGAGTTTTTAGTATTTACGTTTTTGCCTTTGAGCTGCCTAATCATAGTATTTTGGTAAGAAGTTAGAAGAGGCTGCACTAGGGACCACTCTTCTGAAACCCTTGTGAGTGCTGGTTTATGTACGAGTTGATTTTTCTTACCCCTTTCCTTTAAATAGACTGTAAATGAATCAGTCCTTTTGTGTGATAACTACCTTGTGTCTGCTTTCAGGCCATGCAGAGATTGTCCATCTCCTTTTGGAAAGAAATAAATCTGGAACCATTCCATCCGACAGCCAAGGAGCAACACCCTTGCACTATGCAGCTCAGAGTAACTTTGCTGTAAGTAAACCATGACAGTTACCTCCTTTTAAATTAGAATGTTGTCGTCAGCACAATGTAATTCCATCTTCCTCACGTCCCCTAAGGCACCACTGAATAGTACACTGAACACTCAGATTGCTGAAATACCGTAATTTCCCACTTTTCTTTCTCTCTGGTACTCACAGCAAGTATATCTATAGTTCTCCTTCCTGGCACTCCTAAAAATCTATTCTACTTACCACCTCCAGTTTTGGTAAACCTTTATCTTCTATTATCTCCCAAGATCTTAGAAAAATACTAAGTATTTTGAGTTGGGGTTCTTTCTTATTATGAATAGATAAGAAATTCAGTTGTCCCACTATAGTCAACCTATGGAAATCAGAATTCAATCCATAGTTCAACACAGGCCTATGTAAAGACATGTTATCCCTATTTAGAGATGAAGAAACCAAGGTTCCAAGAGATTAAATGATTGCCCTTTTTTTTTCAAATATACTTTTGTGTTTTTATAATTTACGTGTTTGTTTATTTTCGGCTGTGCTGGGTCTCCATCGCTGTGTGGGCTTTTCTCTGGTTGGAGCAAGTGGGGGCTCCTCTAGTTGTGGTGTGTGAGCTTCTCATTGCCGTGGCTCCTCTTGCTGCAAAGCACAGGCCCTGGGGCATGCGGGCTTCAGCAGTTGTGGCGTGTAGGCCCAGAAGTTGCAGCTAACGGGCTCTGGAGCACATGCACAATAGCAGTGATGCATGGGCTTAGTTGCTCCGTGGCATGTGGGATCTTCGCAGATCAGGGACCGAATCCATGCCTCACACATTGGCAAGTGGACTCTTTACCACGGAGCTGTGGGGGAAGCCCTGTCTAAGATCTTGAACCCAACTCTTAGATTCCAAATTTAACTGTGTACAGAAACTAGTAGTTACGTAACTGTGCTAATGAAAGTAAGAAAGAATACTAGAACATTATAGACTTTTTTTCAAAGAAACACTTCCTTTAGATAATTTGCCAATTACAGAAATAGTTTTTTAATAATGATGCAAAATCTAAGCTCAGTTTCAAGTCCCTTGATCTCCTTTAGACTCTATTAACTTGCAAGGGGTTGTAATTCCCTTTTTAAAAAACACTACCACCACCATCAAAAACCCATAAAACCCTTGTAAGCATTCATCACTTAGAAAACATACTCAACAAAAGAAATGCTTGCAAATTGTTAAAAGAAACCCCCCAAATCACCAACATTAAAAAAATTTACTTCTTTATTCAAATCACTTAATAAGCACCTACACTAGCTCCTGGGAGTTAAGCTATAATACCGCAGTAGCTCAACAACTAGTTTTAAGACTAGGAAGCAGTGTGTGTTGCAGTAGAAAGAGTGTGGTGATTTAACCCTGGATTCTACCTGTGTGTTTGCTACCAGTATTTATGTGGCCATGAGCCTGAATCTCATCTGTAAAATAAGGAGCTGGAATAGATGAACCTTACATTTTTTCTTGCTCTGCAGTATTGAATATCAACATTTTATACATTTTTAGACAACTCACAGCCTCCAGAAATTGTTTTTTCTGAAACTGTGTTATTTCCATCCAAGCAAAAGTGTCTATGATCTTCCTATAAGTTTGTAAGCATCTGAGTTTTGAGGAAAGATGCAATTTTAAGTGCTATGAATATTGCTGTTATTTAGTTGCTAAGTCATGCCTGTCTCTTTTCAACCCCATGGACTGTAGCCTGCCAGGCACCTCTATCCGTGGGATTTCCCAGGTAAGAATATTGGAGTGGGTTGCCATTTCCTTCTCCAGGGGATTTTCCTGAGCCAGAGATCGAACCCACATTTCCTGCATTGGCAGGTGGATTCTTTACCACTGAGCCACCAGGGAAGTAGCTATGAATATTAACTGCCATTAAAATGGTCAAGCACTGTAAGAATTATTAAGGGCCTTCATCTTTGTATGCTTCTATAGAGGAAGAACCTAGAATGCAGGAATTACTGAATAATACTTGTTAGATGAATTGAACACTGCACTTCTCAGTAGCCACCACTCATCATTTGATAAATCCATTAACTATTTTAAAAAATAGTAGCAAAGTACATAGTTTCTTCTCTGCAGTTAAATTCTTAAATTTAATTGAGAATAATCAATCTCAATTATAAGAATATTGAATGAAGGAATTAAGTTATATTTTGAAATGCTGTGAAAACTAAAATCAATACATAAGGACAGCAGATTGTTATTTTCAATGGAAATTATAATTCTATTATTCATAAAAAGATAATTTCATTTGATTCACAAGTAGACAAAAAATACTTTGCTTCTTAGCGGAAGTCGCACATAACACTGGTTTTATTGCCGTAGAAAATGCATGTCTCAAATTTTTAAATGTTTTCTTACAGGAAACAGTTAAAGTGTTTCTAAAACATCCATCAGTAAAAGATGATTCAGACCTTGAAGGAAGAACATCCTTTATGTGGGCTGCTGGGAAAGGCAGTGATGACGTCCTTAGGACTATGCTGAGCTTAAAGTCTGACATTGACATTAATATGGCAGACAAATACGGAGGTACAGGTGAGAACTGGCAGACATGTTCAGCTTTCATTCAGGCTTCAGAGTATAGATGGTGCTATAATACTTGCAAAATAGTAAGTTGAAACCATTGTTCCTAATCTAATATTATTTGATATTGATCTTTACTTTTTAAGTTTAGGTTACCAGGATATCACTCCAACAACTTTATTTTTCCAAGTATTACAGCTAAAATTAGCCTATGTTTTTATCAAGTGAATTTTGACATTTGATTTACAAGCCTTGTTGCTCCTTAGACGTAATTGCAGGAACTCTTCTGATCATATATCTTTGCATAAAAAAGCATGAACCTGTGCTTTAAAAACTATGCATACTTAGCAGTTACTAACTACATTTTCAAGAATTTAGAATTATGTTTTAAAGAATGCACACGTCCATGCATGTTCTCACCAGTCTCACATAATATGCTGTTTTCTCACTTTTGAACAGCATTACTGCATCCTGAATCTCCCATTTCAGAGTTAACCTTCCACGACTCCAGAAGCTTCAAAGCTTCACAAGCTCTTACTATATGCTTCCTTTAACCTTTTTTCTAAGAAGAGAGCCCTTGAAGGATGTGTTGATTGCTGAGAGAAGCTCTTGTTTTTTAACGCCCGTTGTCGCCGTGGGTGACACAGCTCTCTCTTGGGCGCTGCAGGCAGCCCTCCATGTCCAAGGGTTTTGCATCTGTGGCTTTGGAAGGCTGGCTTGTACCGCACCATCTCATAAAAGGGTCTTGCGCATCTTCAGATTTTGGTATCTGTAGAGGCTCCTGGAACCAATCCCCCATGGATAACAAAGGACACTTGTGTGTACAAATTACAAGTCAGAAAGGAAAATCACAGCACAGAAACGCTGAATGGAACAAATTCTCAGCTGTGAGCTTCTCAGTGTTAGGTTTTCTTAGACATGAAAACATTCCAGAGCCGTTTGCACCGACCTGTCACCCTGGAGAAGATCTTTCTATCGTTCTTGATCACCAGAACTGTTCCTATAGCCCTTGGGGGATAAAGGGGAATGTGGTTGCTACACCTAACATCTCCCTCTCTACACCTAGACCAACACACCTTCTGATTTTCTAAAAAGAGTTTTTAGGTAGTATCAATTTTGATAAAGGCTTCAACTTGTAAAAGTATTTGTTTATCAAAGTTTCACCATAGACCTTAAGCTTCTTAAGGAGTATTATACAGATACATAAAACATTGAGTTTATAAATGATCTGTGTATTTAATTTTTTTATCAGACTTTTATTATGCAGTCTTTTTCACTGGCATCACTTTTTAACTTTTCATGTATTTTAATAAAGTATGGGCTAGGATACTTGCATTCTCAACAAAAGTTGTCTTTCTGATGTACATCTTAGTTGGGGTTGAGACCTATATTTTCAAATTCATTCATTCCCTGGGCTCTTTCTCTTAAGGGGATTCTGTTATACGTCAGTGATACATATACCTTCCTGACATTTCTATGCCAGTGAGTTCCTCTCCATCATCCCTTTAGAAGGTTTTTTTCCTTAATTAAAAATGAGTTCTTATCCATAGCAATCTGTAAGTATTATTTGGATCAAATAAATCAACTATAAAACAAAATACAAAGCTATCAGGAAAATGTGAACACTCTCTGGGTATATCTGATGTTACAAAGCTTGTGTTAACATCCTTAGATATGAAAATCAGCCTGTATTTTCTTTGCATTGCTGGGGCTGGGGTTCTGCACACCACATTTGCTCTTTTCAGCAGGGCAGTCAGCCACAGTGGGCAGTGCAGGGAGACTGGGAAGCCAGAAGAGGAGCTTGGGATGATAGCTTCCTATTTGCTTCCTGTTCTCGTCTTTGTTTCCGGTTCCTGTCGGCATATCCTGGTCAGTCTGACTCAGCAGAGCACTGGTCGCTTATTCCAGTGGCAGCAGTTAATTCACTTTGTGATTCTCCCAGCATTACTGGTCCTGCCAAGCAGAGCCCCTTCTCAGAGGTCTGAGGCTCAGCTCGGCAGGGCGCCTCCTCTAAGCCTTTAAAGTTGTAATGATTCCATCCTCTTCTTTTTGTTCCCTCAGTCTTAGACTTGCTACCCTCTGTGATACCTTAGTGTTGCCTTTTTGCTTTTTTAGCTCTTCAGTACAAGGCTGGCAGTCCTTCATATTTAATTTTGTCTGTTAAAGTATCTGAGAGATACTCTGATTGATACAGTGGATGTGTTTTAAAAAGGAACCATTGTCTTTTAGCCATACTAACTAAAATATTCACAAACAGAAGGATGTGACTCTAGACTTTTCTTCAAAACAATCAGAAGTGGGGGAATGGATAGCAGTTAAATGAAACAAGATTAGCCAACAAGATCACTGTTGAAGCTGGGTGACGACAATATTCACCCAGAGAATTTTGGCTTTATTTATCTTTTTTTGTAGTCTTCCAAAAAGATACATGCACCCCTATGTTCATAGCAGCCCTATTCACAATAGCCGTACATGGAGACAGCCTAAATGTCCATTGACCGATGAGTTGATAAAGAAGATGTGCCTTTACATTTGAATGACATTTGAAATTCTCCATAACATAAAGTTATTGGAAAGAATTTTTTTTCCATTTATTTTTATTAGTTGGAGGCTAATTACTTTACAATATTGTAGTGGTTTGTGCCATACATTGACATGAATCAGCCATGGATTTACATGTGCTCCCCATCCCGATCCCCCATCCCGCCTCCTTCCCCATTGGAAAGAATTTTTAAAGTTCCTATGTAAGCATGTTTTTTTCAAAGAAGGAACAATGATTGTAGTCTAAAAATTGTTTTAAAATAAATGAAAATAATCAGAAATGGGAAATTTTCCTTTAACGAGATCCTTAATTCTATCTTTTGCTCAGTTGAAATTTTGTCTTTTTTTTTTTTAAAAAAAACCTTGACATTGATATTTATCTGAAGAGTATATGTTGCATACTCGATACCACATGACACAATTACAGAATTTCAGAATTAAAAAGTACCTTAAAATTACATCTAGTCCAGGGTTTTCCAAGCTGTGTCCTCAGACCAGTGCCTTCGCATAGGGGCACCTAGCGCGCCATGAGGGAGTGGGTGCTTGGGCGGGTGACCCACCCTACTTTAACCAGAACCGCTCACCTCTTAACTATTGTAGATGTTGGGTGTTTTATAAAATTCATTTGGGAGGGAGAAAACTAACATTCGTATGGTCTTAAATGTGAAAAATCACTGAACTGTCACAGGTGTCTCATTGCCTTAATCTGCCTTATGACATCCTCACCAACCTTTTCACCAAAGACGCCCTCGCTGTCTTTCAGCGTCCAGTTGGCCGGCCCCAGTGCAGAGCGCTCATCACCAGAGCTGCTGCTTTTATTTCGGCTGTGCCGTGCAGTGTCTGTGATCTTAGCTCCGCAGCCAAGGATGGGACCTGGCTGGGCCCCTGGCAGCGAAAGTGCAGGGTCTTAACCACTCGGCCGCCAGGGAACTCACACGTGACTTCCGTCTTGCGCTCACTCTGCAGGACGCGCTGCCTTATACTAAGCCGACACTTTCCAAACGGAGTGTCGCTTTGTGTGTTGTCTTGCTCACGACATGCTTCAGGTACTTGAAGGCTCTCACACCCATCTTGTCTCGGCCAATCTACCTTTCAGACATTTAGGTCAGGCTTTTCAAACTCATGTGTGCATGACAATTACTAGAGATATTCCCAGATTAAACAGCGATCCTACATCAACTCCTGTCAATAAGTCCTGTTGATTCCACATCCAAAACATATTCTAAATTTTTCCTGCTTCCCTCCATCTCCACTCGTGTCACCCTCGTTCAAGCCACCACTGTTTTCACCCAGACTACTGCACTAGTGTTAACTGGTCTCCGTACTTACATCCTAATTTGCTTGAATGCATTCTGAAATGGCTAGTGTGACCCGTTTAGAACAGAAGTCACACATCCCTCCCCTACGTAAAGCCCTTCCATCGTTCTGACCCGATGGCCGTTTGTGAGCCAGCCTTTTCTGCCTTTCTGGCTGCCTGCACTCTCGCTCATACGCCGCAGCCTCTTTGCCTGCCTTCAACACGTACACTCATCCCTGTCCCTGTTTGCATTTGCCCGGACTAGTCTCCCTTAAGAGTTCTGCTTTGCCTCTTTTTTTATGATTTAGTCTCAGCTTAAATGGACCTTTAGGTACCTTGACAGGGCTTTCCCTAACCACCAATCAAAAGTAATCCCCGTAAATCAAAAGTAATCACGTCACTTCACATATCAAAACAGTTCTTACTTCTTTAACTATACCGTCTGTCACCATCTAATACTTAAATGTTGTTAGTTCAGTGTTTTGGTTTTGTTCTGCTTTGCTGCTTCTATGAAAATGTAGCCTTAGCTTTTTGTTTCCTACTGAATTCCCAGCATTAGATTGTGTACCCAGCCCAAAGTGGCATCTCAACAAGTCCCCAAGAATCTGCATTTTATAGGCACCCCAGGTTTGGTCCATGGATCACACTTTATGAAAAAAACATTTTCCTAGATAGTGTAGAGCCATAATTCTTAGAACTGGCCTGGACCTCTAGACAGATACCCTGAAACATTGAGAAGAATTTAGAGAGTGATGATTTAAATAGAATTTAAAGAGTAATCTGAGGAGTGGTGACATAAGCCCTAGAGAGGAACAACATAGGCAGGGATCAGTGCAACATGAAACTAAACTAAACTAAAAAAACTCGGTTTTTTTCCTGCAATCTTGAAGTGAATTGCTCTTTTTAAAATTGGGCCCTGAGGAAATAGCTGACTTGCATTTGGAATCGTGTTCTATGAACTATGCTGTCAAGGCAGTAAGCTGCACACACTTTGGATACCATGTGGGTACAGACCCGCTGCAAGAGGCGCACAGCCGACCAGCTGAAGAACAAGTAGGTTGGCGGCTCCCCTCACACATCCCCTCAGAGGCATGTACGGATCGTGAGTGGGCTGGTGGGCAGAATTGCCTGCATCATTTAAGTCATTTCTCTTTGCCATGTTTTGTCCTCTTGCTCTCTTAGAAAGAGGAAAAGATAATAAACTAGTGACTGAGGAGACCATTTCAGACCAACAGGATGGAAAGGAAGAAAACAGTGAGATGAGAAAGGTAGAAGGAAGGGAAAAGTGGGATAATAATACATACCAATAGAAAGGAAGATACAAAGAAGTGTATGCAAGTGAAGAATAGATCATCTTGAAGATTAAATTGCGTTTGGCCAAAATGATGTGAAAATCAAAAGAGGAAGAGACACACAGTTAGGATGGTAAAAAGGTGAGGGTGTTACTTAAAGTTCTTCACTCTCTTTCGCTCCCTCTTTAGCTTTACATGCTGCTGCACTTTCTGGCCATGTCAGCACCGTGAAGTTATTACTGGAAAATAACGCTCAAGTAGATGCTACTGATGTCATGAAACATACTCCACTTTTCCGAGCCTGTGAGATGGGGCACAAAGATGTGATTCAGACACTCATCAAAGGTGAGTTACTAAGAGTGCTCATAACAAGTCAGTCTCAAAAGGTAGGCTTTCTTACAGTCACCCTTTGAGATACAGCTTTACATGGCAGAGAGCTGTCTGGGTGGAAGCATGGAGGGAAGAACCTGGCATCAGGAAACTCGAGATTCACTCCTGGCTCCACCTATTAGGAGCTGTTTGATTTGGGAAAAGTCACTGTATCTGCCTGATCCTTAGTTTCACCTCATATAAAATGGGAACGATTTCTATCCTGACCAACTCCCAGGCTTATTGTAAAAATCTGAAATAGAGGATATACATGAAAGCTTTTTGCTAAGAGTAAAGCATTTAAAGGACTGTTATATTCTTTAAACTTCTCTTCTTTTTGATAAATTGCTGTCTATATTAGACATTTTCACTATATTTTTGCTTTTTCAGGTGGAGCAAGGGTGGATCTAGTCGACCAAGATGGACATTCTCTTCTACATTGGGCCGCGCTGGGAGGAAATGCAGATGTTTGCCAGATCCTGATAGAAAATAAGATCAACCCAAATGTGCAGGATTATGCAGGAAGAACCCCACTGCAGTGCGCTGCATATGGGGGCTATATCAATTGCATGGCCGTGCTCATGGAAAACAGCGCAGACCCGAACATTCAGGACAAAGAGGTAAAAATCCTAGGTCTTTTCTCTATCATTTGCTCCGAAGTGTCTGCATCATTGCTTCTTTGTTAACTAAAATTAAGTAAAACAGTTTGTCAAGTGATGAGATCACTCAAAAATCTGTTAGTTAAAAAAAAAAAAAATCTGTTAGTTAAAAGTGATTTTTATTTGTCCATGCTCTCTTCTAGTCCTTGTGTATATGTGTATATAATTTTTAAAAGTCATAGGATGGGAATAGTTTTATAACTTTTATAAAATATATAGATACATGGCATATGTATGTAAGTATATAAATATATATGTGATTTTACACATTTTGTTTTGCTTAAAATTATCACTAATATTTTTTCATTTGGTATATAATCTTTTTCATAATCATGGATGCTTAATATTTCAAAGTTCTAAGAGCTTTCTGTTTTATAACTCATTCAATCCACACAATAAGTCTATAAAATTGCCTTTATTTTCTACATTTTAAATTTTTCACTATTTCATTGGTATTTACTCTCATCTTTATTATTGCCTACCATCCACTTTTATAAGGTTTGATTTAATATTCTTTAAAAAATTCTTTTGATGAAATTTTAAATCATTGGTTTTTTTCAATATATATATTTAACCATGTTTGTTACTCTGAATGCTGCTTTAGCTTCATCTTACAAATCTGGATAAACTGTAGCATCACTATCATTCAACACAAACATTTTCTGATTTCCATTTCAATTTATTATTTGATTTATGGGTTAGTTAAGTGTATTGTTTAATTCCCAGGCAGTTGGGCATTTTGTCATTATCTTTTTGTTAATGATTATATTGATGTTCTATTCCTGCTGTAACAATTACCACAAACTTAGTGTTTTAAAACAAAACAAATTTGTCATATTACTAATCTGGGTGTCAGAATTCCAAAATGTCCTAAAGATCATGGTGTTGGCAGGACTTCATTCTTTCTGGGGGCTCTAGGAGAGAATCTGTTTCCTTGACTTTTCTGGAGGGTGCCCACATTCTGTGGCTTGTGGCTCTGTTTCTCCTGCTTCAAATCTAGCAGTGACTGGTTGACTTTTTCACACTGCATCACTCTGACATTCTTCTTCTGCCTCTGTCTTTAACTTACCATAAGGACCTTTGTGATTACACTTGGCCCAACTGGATAATCCAACTCACAGTCAACTGATTAGCAGCTTTAATTCCATCTACAACCTTAATTCCCCCTTTTCCATTTAATATAACACAGTTACAGATTCCGGAAGTTATAAAGTGGACATCTTTGTAACAGAGTGCCTTATTCTGCCTACTGCACTGATTTGTAGCTTAAATTTTACTTTATTTTAAAAAAATACTCTGCATTATTTTAATCTTTGAAAAGCTTTTGAAGCTTTCCTTATGTCCCAGCATATGGTTGATTTTGGTAAATGTTCTGTGTACACTTGAAAAGAATACTAATTTTGTCATTGTTCAGTACAGTGTTTTATATACATTTTACATTGTATTTTTCATGCTGTCTATACCTTTCCTACTTTTTAATCTATTTCTGCTACCAACTATTGTACGACGTGGGTTAAAAACCTCCCGCTGTAATTATGGATATGACTGTTTCCTCTTTTAATTTCGCCAGTTTTTATCCTATACATTTGGAGACTGTGCTGTTAGTTGCTTTCAGATTTAGGATTGTGATATCTTCCTCTTTGACTTCTTTAACACTGTGAAATATTCCTTTTTATCTCTAGCAGTGCTTCTTGACTTTTTTTGAATCTTTCATGACATTGAAATTTTTAAAGAATACAGACCATTTATTTTCTAGAATTTCACTCAATTTGTTGTTGACTAATGATTCATCATAATTTGATTCAGGATTTACATTTGGGAGGGAATATTACATAGATGATACTGAATCCTCAAGAGTATCACTTTTGGAGACATGTGATACTTCTTAACGTAGGATTTTTTTATAATTTTATTTATTTTTGGCTGCAGTGAGTCTTTGTTGCTCTGCGTGAGCTTTGTCTAGTTGCGATGAATGGGAGCTACTTTTCCTTGCGGCGTGCTGGCTTCTCATTGCAGTGGCTCCTCTTGTTGCAGAGCACAGTCCCCACGCGTGAGGGCCTGAGGGTTGGGCCGAGTTGTGACGCCCTGGCTGAGCTGCTCCGCAGCATGTGGAGTCTTCCCGGACCAGGGCTCAGACCTGCATCCCCTGCGCCGCCAGGAAGGCCCCTTGCTGCTGCCACTGCCCAGTCACGTTAGTCATGTCCAACTCCTTGCAGCCCCATAGACACAGCCTTCCCGGCTCCTCTGTCCATGGGATTGTCCCTGCAAGCATAGTGGTGTGGGTTGCCGTGCTCTCCTCCAGGGGATCTTTTTGACCCAAGTATGGAACCTGTGTCTGCTGCCTTGCAGTCTGATTCTTTACCACGGAGCCCCAGGGGAGCCCGGGAAGTCCATTAGCTAGTATTAGTTTTGGTCTCTTGGTTAAGATACTGTTCATTTTCTCCACTGTGTACTTGATATTTTCTCTTTCTGTGAGTAAGCAACTTGGGAGAAATGCTTATATATTTGAGTTAGCATAAATAACTATGTGTCCCAAAATACTGACACAAGACGTATTTGATTATGCTTGCAGGGAAGAACAGCTTTGCACTGGTCCTGTAACAATGGATACCTTGATGCTATTAAATTACTACTAGACTTTGCTGCTTTCCCTAATCAGATGGAAAACAATGAAGAGAGGTAAGCCACTGGCAGAAAGAATGCATCATTGTTCATCTCACATCCTTTCTGCCATATTTTAAAAAATCCTCAAGTTTAGATGCTTGTTCAGAAATAGTATTTCATCAGGACACACTACATTAAGAAATCCTGAACCAGAAGAAAACAAAAGTTCCATGTAGTGTTGATTTAGAATCATGGGATTTTTAAGTTATTAGAAACTTCAGGCATTACTTAGGGCAAGCTCACACTTTCCAGATGAAGAAATCTAGGTCTTCTTTTGATGTGTGTCCAGCATCAAATCAGGGGAGTCCTGACTGACCAGGGCTAAGAATGCAGTTAGGCCAGCGAGATGTGTTATATGTTCAAGAAGTTTCTCTTGATGAAGGGGATATTATCAGTTAGTGGACAGAGATGCCACCATGTAGCATGAAAAAAATAAGGGGAAACTGAGGCTAAAGCTCAGGATTTTAATCTTAATACAGATTTCTTAAATAATATGAGATTCACAGAGTTAGGCTGGGGTTGCTATCCAGTGACCCAGACCCAATAAAAAGGACTCAACGTAGTGTGAAGTCTAAGCAGGAGACATTCTTGATGGTCTTGGATCTAGGAAGATTCTAGTAATTTGTAGGTAACAACTAAGATGGTAATCAGATTTCCATACCTGCCCCCTGCCCCCTGCCCCCTACCCAGATCTGTGCTTTAGTTTTCTTTGTTCATGGATACTGTCACTAAAGTGGCCCCATCCCTACGCTCTCAGCCACCACCAGCTTTTTCTTTCTATCAGGGGGTGGGACACTTGGTAGAAAAAGAGGGGTTTTCTCTAAGCCCACTGTCTCAGAGGAAACATGGGGCCAATCCCTTCATCCTTCCCACTTCTTTCAGAGCCTTTCTCCATTATCTGTACCTGCCATCTGTCATTTTCCAAGTCTCTTTTCTCTGAGCTTTGTCTTCTTTGCCCGGTCTCACACTGTCTTCACTGGCTCCGTTTCTTCACTGTCCCCATTCAGGCCTTTGCAGTGTGGCCTCCACCCTCTCCTTTACCCTGAAATCCGCATCCAAATGGTCCCCGCCGGAGTCCTAGTTGACAAAGCACATGATGTCTTCTCCGCCCCCCACTGGCCCTCCTGCATCTCCTCTCTGCTACTCTTCTCCACCTCCTTGAGCCTGTCCGCTCCCTAAGCTTCTGTGACAGTGCGTTTTCCCAGTTCTCTTGGAATTAGGATTCTCTTCTAATCCTGCTCCTCCATTTCTTTTGGCTTCTGTTGCCTTTTTTCTGTTTTAAATATAAGCAGTCTTCAAGGAGTGGATCTACTCTCAGCCTGCCTCCTTTGGCAACCTGACCAGCCACAGGCTTCAGCACTCACCTGGGTGCTGGTACATTCTCAGGCTACAGTGCAGACTCACCCCCCGCCTTGGTTCACGCTCTCATCTCCACGTCATCACCAGCACCACTGGTACAATCTCAGGCTACAGTACAGACTCACACCCGCCCCCCCCCCCCACCTTGATTCACGCTGTCATCTCCACGTCATCACCAGCACCATTGGTACGATCTCAGGCTAGAGTTCAGACTCACCCCCCACCTTGGTTCACGCTGTCATCTCCACATCATCACCAGCACCACTGTCTTGCCCTCTCTCACTCTTTCTGAAACTATTGCAATGCCTCCTCACTTGTTTTCCTTCCTTCGATCTTTCCCTCATTTAATTCATTACCTTCCAAAGTAAGCTTTCTTAGTCAGATCGCTAATATAGTTGTTAATCTTGTCATTCCACTGTTCAAATTCAGTCTCATCTAAGAAGACTGTCCTGGTCCTGCAGTCATGTGTCCCAAACTGTGTTCTCCTCCCCACTGTGAATCTTTATAGCCCTTGGCACATTTCACTTTTTATTATGATTTTATAGAATTTGTCTTCCTTTTAGCAGAGCACTCTTGGTCATCTCTGAATTGCTCACAGTGCTTTTCATGAAGTAGATGCTCAGTAAATAACTGGTGAATTGTCAAATCTGTGTTTTCAGGCTCCCAGTAGCATCACCCTGATTCATACCTTCATTAGAAAGTTATGTGGAATTCTTAGACCACAGGCAAACTTAGATAAAGCAGATTAGTATGCCTTACTTTTAGAGTGATTATATAAAGAACTCCACATCTCTATTATAGTCAAATGACAACTGCAAAACCAAAAAGATGAAGATAGGCATTTGGACATTTAAGGAAACTGGAAAGCCAGAAGAATCCTCAAGACTGAGGATTTGACCTTAAAACAGGTATGTGAGGGTGCCAGAGGCTTCTCCCTTTGAGACCCTGAAGAAGCAAAAAGATTAAGAATTCTAAGAATTAGTGATGATATATTTCTATAAAGGATATTTTTTATAAAACCATTTACTGCCTGAGTGCTATTTTTTAGGAAACAGTAAAAAAATAATTTTTTGTAATTCAATTTCCATTTATATGCTGAATTTTGAATTTCAGACCTAAGTAAGCTTATGAATTAAGGTACTTACCAACTCCTGGAGTAAGCATATGTTAATTACAGACCAAAAGACCAAAGGAAAAATCCTCCAAAGTGTACTTGCCAGTCTATGGATGAAAAGAGACAGTGGTAATATCCCAGTCTGTTTTAATGTTTCATCAGCAATGCACCTTGATGTACAAATGTCAGAAGCTGGCACTGCCTTTTATGTTTATTGACATTCCAGTTTAGGCATTCTGCTTGTTCCATCAGACCATTCCCACATGGCAAGTCCAATTGTATCTTGTCTCTTGTCTTTATCTGCATTGTTTCTTGACTGGTTACCATCAATGTACTGTTAATTTTTACTTCACATGCATTGACACAAACCACTTGATGTTCTCTGTATAGACATAATTTTTGCCACCTACTGCTGGCTTTCAGTCAATAACTATCTGACAGCCATACTCTGACATAGATGGGAATATTCACAGCGCTTGAATGTGTCTCCATTGAGTTTGGGATGAAGAATGATTCAGTAGTAATAATCACAGTGTGGTCAGTTGCCTCAACACTAAGTATAGACTTTAGTCTTAAGCCTTGCTAGATATTTAGTTTGTGTCTCCTTGAATCAAAAATTGCCCGAGAAGTAATTTGAAGAAACTAATTGTAAAAAAAAAAAAAAGAAAGAAAAAGACTTTTTTTAAAGAAAATCAGGAAAATGTGTGTTTAGAGTAAGCATTAGATCTTGCTAAGGAATTCCTGTTAATTTTGTTAATACAATGGCATTGTGATTATGTTCACCTTATTATAGATGAATCTAAAATGCAGAGAGATTAAATGATCGGAGCCTGGGATTTGCTTTATTGATTGATTGATTGATGGCTTGTGGGATCTTTCCCTACCAGGGTTTGAACCTGGGCCCATGGCAGTGAAATCTCTGAGTGCTGACCACTGGATCCACCAGGGTATTCCTCTGGGATTTGCTTTTAAAATACTTGAGCAAAAATAAAAAAGAAAGGAGTAGATGAAGTGAATGTGGTAAAAATTTTGCTAATTATTAAATTTGGGTAATGCGTGTATAAAGCATTAGTGTCCTGTTAGCTCTACTTTTGTTTATGCTTAAAGTTTCTCATAATAAAAATATGATTTTTTCATAATAAAAATATTTAACATATTTGAAATGCAACTTTCCATCCACAAGCAGCCTGAGAAATCTAGTTCTTCTTCTCCCCTTCCTTTCACCTTTTACAGATGAAGAAACAGAAACTCAGAGAAGTGAAGAGAATGCCCAGGGTCACACAGGTCTGCTGACCTCCGGCTCAGCATTCTTTAGGGAATATTATGCCCATGTCATTTCTTTTTGTCATATTTGTAAGTAAACACATAACTTGGGCCTCACTTTCACAAGCCATATTTTGCTAATCCTTTTTGTATACTGTGTGAAAGGTACTATGTATTCATAATTATAGAAAAAAATGATCAGGCTTACTGAAAATGCATATGTCATTTGCACATTGATTTGGAAGCAGTTTCATTCTGTAGGAGACATGTATTCAGTGACCGAGAGAGGAATTGTGGAAGGGTTTCTGTGCTAAACGGGGCAGCATGTGATCATAGTCCCATCTGGGTTGTGCAGGTAACTAGTTACATAGACTTCCGCATGTTGCATAATCTTCCCAGGTCTGTTTATTCATTTATACCGTGAGGGTGTTAAACTATATCTGTCAAATTCTCTGCAGTGGTTCTCTGACTCTGATGATTTTTTCTATTGGGGAAAGTACAGTCATGAAAGGCATTTTGGAATATATAGTGGATTTTGTAAAAGTTCTTCTGAATTTACAAAACGCTATTTACATGTAAATAATGTTTTAAAGTTTATCCAGGCACCTCTACTTTATGGCCTTCTGGTTTCTGAACAGTATGGGCAGATCAAGCTGTCCTAAAACGGGGGTTCATCCGTTTTAGCATTCAAGAACTTCCTTCTGAATTTAGAGTCTCCTTACTAAAGGGACCAAACTACCCTTTGCATTTACTGAAAACCTCTTCCTTTTGTATCTTACTGTGACTGTTAGGTGATTCTTGAAGAGTTTCTTTTCTATAATCATTGGCTGATTCTCTGAGTCTGTTCATGCACCCACATAGTCATCATTTTTCCAGCTCATCAATCAGCTGATTATTTCCTTCCAACACCTGTGACTACACTGACCCAGTGACAGTCATCAAGAGGAAACTGATCTGGCAGTTGTTCAGCAGTCATAAATGCTAGTTTGGGTCTCTGCAAATAATATTCGTGATAAGTGCTATCACCAACATATAAGCGCTGCAATGTGTGTTCTGTAATAGCACTAATCACACTAACTTTTATGAGCTGCTTCCCTCATGCCAGGCACACTGCTGTCTTCTTCACACTGATTATTTTATTCTGTCATCATCCCAAATCTGTATGAGGAGAGGTGGGGCATAAGTTTGTCGGGAAGTGACAACCATTGTTATCACCATGGTTGGATGGTAGAATTAGGGGTATTTTCTTTACTTCAAATTATAGTACTATTTGCATCATTTGAATTCTTAAACTGTGTGTCATTTTTACAGAGTAATTATTTTTCTTTAAAAAAGGAAACATACTTCCCATTAATATTAACAGTGGTTAACTCTGAGAGTGAGAGTGTAGATGACTATTATTTTCTTCTGTATATTAATCTGGTTTGTTTTATATTCCAAAAATAGAGAAGATGTATTTTTTAAAAAGAATCTGCCTAAAATCACAGATCTAGAAAGTAGTCAGTTGAAATTCTAATATATAACTCTATGATAATAATAATACCCATCTTTTCTAAATAATATACTTATCAAAAAGGTATGTACACTGCAAAAAATTTAGAAAGCATAAAAAGGCATTTAGTAAAACTAACTATCCCTCCTATCCCTGTCTCTGAGACAGCTAGCTTCCTCCCCAGGGGCATCACTGTCCCATTTTCTTGGGAAACTTCTAGAGAGTTATATCAATATTTTACATAGGTGAGCACATAGGGATATATTCTTTTTATGTCAGTGAAGCACATCATAATACTGTTCTGGTTTCTTACTTTTTCTTTTTTCCTTCACTGAACAATTCATCCTGGTGATTGTCCCGTATTTATTCATGTACACAATAATGGCTGCTTTACTCAGATGACTTTGTGATGGGATGGCCTGTACTTTATTTAACCAGTCCTATGTTTGTTGATGGAGGGCTTCCCTGGTAGCTCAGCTGGTAAAACATTCGCCTGAGTGCAGGACACGCCAGTTTGATTCCTGGGTCGGAAAGATCTGCTGGAGAAGGGATAGGCTACCCATGCCAGTTTTCTTGGGCTCCTCTGGGGCTCAGCTGGTAATCTGCTGCCTGCCATGTGGGAGACCTGAATTCAATCCCTGGGTTGGGAAGATCCCCCTGGAGAAGGGAACGGCCACCCACTCCAGTCTTCTGGCCTGGAGAATTCCATGGACCACAGTCCATGGGGTCGCAAAGGGTCGGACACGACTGAGCGACTTTCACTTTACTGTTGATGGAATTGAGGTTGTTTCCATTGTTTTACTATTTCAAGCTGTGCTTCTGTAAATATCCTTATACATAAAGCACTTCACAGGAGAGCAGATCTGTTGGATGAATGCCTATAAGTGAGAAGGCTATGGCAGAGGGCAGATGCATGAATGATTGTGAAACATATTGCAGATTGCCTCCCTTGTATGTAGAGAGCCTGTCTCCCTCCATTCTCGCCAGCACACTGTGTTATTACACTTTCCGGTCTTTGCTGAATTAATCTTTAGGTTAAAGTGCTCGCTCATATTAGTCTTAAATTGTATTTCTCTTAAATGAGTGACATTGAACATATTTTTATATGCTAGTAGCCCCGAGTATTTCCTGTTTGAAGAACTATCTTTTATCTTTGTTATTGGTGTTTTTGCCCTAAAAATATTTGTTATTTTTATGTACTTGGATTTATCAATCTTAAGGTTTCTGCATTCTGTATCTTTCTTTGGAAAAAACTTCCCACTCCAATATTTTTTAAAATCCCCCATGATTTTTTCTTCTACTTTCATGGTTTTTTTTTTTTTGCCACACCATGCAGCTCATGGGATCTTAATTCCCCAAGTAGGGATTGAACATTGGCCCTCAGCAGTGAGAACAGAGTCCTAACCACTGGCCCAGCAGGGAATTCCCTTTAAAAAAAAAAAGAAAATTAGATCATTACTTCATCCTGCATTCATTTTGGAGTGAAAGTGATGTAAGAATCTCCCCCCCCCCCCCCCAGATGACTGTACAGTTGTCCCAACTCTGTTTAATAATCCATCATTTCTGCAGGGGTTTAAAGGGCCATTCTTCTCACAGACTAACTCTCTCTATTTGGAGATATATTTTTCATTGCATAAACATTAACTATCAGTAATCATGAGCTGAGACTTAGGAACCCCACAATATTATTTGCAGTGGTTTTTTTTTTTTTGATAGGATTAAGGAATTACTTAGAACATGGGGAGGAAGAAAAGTGATCATGTATTCTCAAAGCCCCTAATTTGTGAGCAAGTGAGCAAAACTGAGGAATAGACATGGCCAGCAGTGCAAAACACCAGATGCCGGGTCCGGCTCCACCCTTGTTCTGCGCTCCTCAGAGCAAAACGGGACAGCTATGCCCGAGGGGTGTTGCACGTCTTAGAATGAGGTTTCCTCCTACTGCATAGCGTCACCAGTTTAACTGTGCTCGGAATTACCTTACAACACTTAAAACAAAACTGCCTCCTTCAGGTACACCCCCCTGGATTACGCCCTGCTTGGGGAGCGCCACGAAGTGATCCAGTTCATGTTGGAGCACGGCGCCCTGTCCATCGCGGCCATACAGGACATCGCCGCCTTCAAGATCCAGGCCGTCTACAAAGGGTACAAGGTCAGGAAGGCTTTCCGAGACCGGAAAAATCTGCTCATGAAGCACGAACAGCTGAGAAAGGATGCTGCGGCCAAGTGAGTGTGAGCCGGCCTGGAAGGGGGCGTGGCGGTGGGCGCGGCCAGGCGAGGCGCAGGAGGGCCTCTGAAGTCTCTGTGATCCCTGCGTCCGCGTCCCCTCCCCGCTGCTGCTCACCAGTCCCTCGGAGGGCCACGGCCTTCTCTCCACTTGGTGGCTGTTCCTCTAGGTTAGTCCTCAGGGTTCTAACTCTGGGAGACATCGCTGCCATACCCAGCCGTGGAGAGGAGCTGATGGTGAGGCTGCTGCCTGCAGGAAGCCACAAAGGAATATCTGGTCCTCTCACCTTCCGCCTTTTCCAAAGAAACTCACGCCAATATCCCACCTGCTTCTACTAGACAAATATAGGTCTAGTTCTGATTTGATTAAAGCAGCTAACTTGTATAAATAACTCGCTCTCCCCTACCTATTCCTTAACAAATCCCCACTAACTAATGCAATTTATTCAAGAAATACTGATTGAATTCTTACTGCACATACAACGCTCTTGACTTGAGCCTAAGGAGAAAATAGTACTTGCTTCGAGGACCTCATACTTGTTTGGGTAATGATATAGTGTGTGAAATAGTCATTTGTGCCTGTTATAAATCTAAAACTGTTAGTTGCTCAGCTGTGTCTGACTGTTTGAGACCCTATGGACTGTAGCTCACCAGAATTCTCTGTCCGTGGGATTTTCCCAGCAAGGATAGTGGAGTGGGTTGCCATTTCCTTCTCCAGGGGATCTTACTTGACCCAGGGATCAAACCTGGGTCTCCTGTATTGCAGGCAGATGCATCACCATCTGAACCACCCAGGAAGTTTATTATACATTGTGATTGGTTTTACTGTGAGTGATTGATTTTAGATTATGTTTTGGTTTGGCTTTTCTGTTATACACGTGTTGGGTATTTTAAATAGCAAGAGAGTATTGCATTAGCAGGTATAAAACCAAAACATCTGATGCTAAAGATCACAGGAAGATTCTTCTTGTGTGTGTGTGTGTGTGTGTGTGTGTGGCTGTGCTGGGTCTTCCTTGCTATGCAGCTTTTTCTCTAGTTGCAGGGAGGTGGGCTGCTCTTTTTGTGGTGCCCAGACTTCTTATTGAGATGGCCTCTCTTGTTGTGGAGCAGGGGCTTGAGAATACATGGGCTTCAGTAGTTGTGGCTTCTGGGTCTAGAGCTCAAGCTCAGCAGTTGTGGCACACAGGTTTCGTTGCTCCCCAGCATGTGGGACCTTCCCCGATCAAGGATCAAACTCATTGGCAGGCAGATTCTTTACCACTGAGCCACCAGGGAAGCCCTGTTCTTAATTCTTAGTTTCTGAAATTGATTGTTAAAAAATTGTAAATGGGAGCTGTGCTTACTGTGATAATCATTGAAATTACAAAAACTGAAAAATTTTAGCTTCCTTTACTTTTTCTCAGTCACAGTCTGCCCTTTATGGGTCCTCATTATTGGGAGTAAATGGGTTTCTTACACTTCTTAATCATCGCCTCCTAATAGTCATTGTAGCATAGATCTCCAAGAGAAATGTTTGAATCAAGAATTACTGGTTTAATTTGTGTTCATTTTATTTCTCAAAAGTTATTCCTTTTGAATAATAATAAATGTGAGTCAGTGTTGCATTTTGGTTTTGAATTTGCTTTTAAGGGACAGAAATCAGAATGTTAAATTTAGTCTAAGGTGGCTCAGGCACATCACGTTGCCTCACTATACCCTCCCCAGTTTCTTGTGTTAGGATGGCAGAAATCACCTTCCTTAAAGTGAGGGTGTCAAAGAAACTGATTAAACTTAAAGTGATTTCTATTTTGCTGGTAGAGAAATTGAAAGAGAGAGAAGTTTTAGTCATATTTTCTAAGGCTTTTTTTAAAGGAAATACCTGTAATCCATTTAAAAGCACTTTATAACTCATACTACACCTCCAGTGTATTGCCAGAATGATCACTACTGTAATCTACCTGCCAAAGCACAGAGCTGAATGCACATGAAAATAAGGCTGTATTTATGTTGATTGCTCTCTTCCCCTGAAGCTTCCTTTTTGCTGGGTTTTTATTCACTCTCTGAGCTCAGATCCCCTCTAACTTTCTGAACTCTTCCTTCATACATCTTTTCAACTATACCATCTCCACACTGAAGTCAGTGCTACAGGTAACCCCGTAGACTTTTCTTGCCATACTTTTTTCATTGAAAATATATCTACTCTTAAAACTCACATTACTTTACCTTTGTAGATAACCGCTTCATCTGTCTGACGTCTTCCTCTCCTGGAACTCTGACCCTAGGTCTTCAGCTCTCTAGAGGCATGCCCGCTGTGCCGTCCTTCTGTCCCTGGCCGACATGTCAGATCATCGGACCTTTCCGTTTGCATGCCCTGTTGCCGCCACTTCAGGCTCGCTGTGTGAACATACAGCCCATCAGCACAGCTGCCTCTCTCCACCTCCTGATCTCCCTGCTACTGCTGCCACCGCCAGCTGTGATAAGTCCCCTTTCCGAAATGTCCTTTTGTAGCTCTTCTGTCCCACCACTCTAACAAGCATCATTCTGGAATAGCATTTGTGATGCTATGTCAGACCCTGTAACATTTTACTTCCGCTTATATCTCCAAGCCTCACCTTTCTCTCCACTAACTCCACCCTACCACCTGACATTTCAACCGTCTTTAACTTTCTTCACTTCCTCACTTACAGCTTTCCTTACACCCCACGCTCTTGGGAGACCTGAGCTTCTTTCTGACTAGTGTATGAGACTGTGTCTCTTAGAGTTATGTAATCAAATCCAGTTTGGGTCACCCAGTTCAAGCTCTCGTGATGCTCAAGTTCCTTCAACAGGAGGTTGTTCTGTGTCCTCAAAAAGTCAGGTAACAAGGAGTTCTGTGCCTCTAAGGCAGCGCACTTCATTAGTGGACAGTTCTGTTGCCAGTATTCTTGCCTGGAGAGTCCCGTGGACAGAGGCGCCTGGGGGGGCTACAGTCCGTGGGGTCACAGAGAGTCGGACAGGACTGAGTGACTAACACTCATGATGTTGGCAGAAGTTCTTTTCTCCCTTTTGATCTTGAGCTGCCCCTTGAAGCAGAACAGAAAAGTCCAAATCCTCTTCCATAAACCAACTTCCAGATAATTAAAGAAGGTGCTCCTGATAACTCGCATCCCAACCCCAGCTCTCCTCCTCACTTTGTAAGAGATCCGCTTGCAGCCTGCTCCCCAGAAACCTTCCGTCTGTCAGTGCCTTTCTTCAGGGTTGACCCTTAGGCTGAATCTTCTGCTCACCTGTGGTCTGATGCGTGAGAACACTTCCATTATTCCACTTCTCTGAGCCTCAGTTTCTCATCAGTAAAATGAAAAGAAAATTTTTTAGTTCGGGACAGGTTTTGAGGCTCCATGAATGCCCTGAAACTGTGGGCAGTATTTTGTATGTTATGAGCTCATGTACACTTGGTGGGAGGAGAGGATCTGTAGATTTTTTATCACATTCTCTAAGATGGTTCATGAATCACAGAAAGATTTTTTTGTAAATTGGTCTAAATGATATCTAAGGTTCCTTCCAGCTATAACATTCTATAAGTCAAAGGTCCTAAAACGCATGACATTTTCTTATTCCCTTGAGAGGAAGTCAAAGACCAAATATTACTGACCTGTGCTTCAGCAACAATGCAGAGATAGAATCTGACAGACCCTCCCCGCGCCCCCCCCCCCCCGCCACACACACATCCAATGCAGGGCCAGCGGAAAAGGTTAGAGCCAAACCTTTTCTGTCTTTTGAGGTAAGCAGCTTCCTCTCACTGGAAATGTTCCAGGAGAAATTGAATTATCATCTCTCCAGGATAAATATATAAAGAATTTTTAAAACTATGTGAAAGAGCTGGGCTCTCAGATCTCTTCTGAGTCAAAGACTCTGTGAGAGCTGTGCCATCTGTCTGCCTGGAATCACCTTCTCTCACTTCCCTCTCTTCTCACTTTGACATGATCTCTATGTAACCTTTCTTTTCTCTTCCAGTTTAGTCAGTCTCCCACATCCCCAGCCCCCAGCTCTGGGTGAACACCTGTGTCTTGGCGTGCGCCGCGGCTGGAGTCCAGCGTCTGCCGGAGGTACGGGTCTGGTCTCCCAACCAGACTCTCAGTTCCTGGACGCAAAGACCGTGTTAGGTCCCCCCGTACTTCTCGCGGCTTAAAGCCCTTGATAAGTTTCTTGTTCTTCAGCTGCTAAGTCCTGTCTGACTCTCTGCGACCCCATGGACTGCATGACGCCAGGCTCCTCTGTCCTCCACCATCTCTCAGAGTTTGCTCAAATTCATGTCCATTGAATCGGAGATAACATCCGACCATTCATCCTCTGTCACCATCTTCTCCTAGCATCAGTCTTTTCCAATGAGTTGGCTCTTCGCACAGGTGACCAAAGTATTGGAGCTTCAGCCTTAGTCCGCCCAGTGAATATTCAGGGTTGGTCTCCTTTGGGATGGACTGGTTTGATCTCTTTGTTGTCCGGTGGATGCTCCAGAGGCTTCTCTAGCACCACAGTTTGAAGGCATCAATTCCTTTATGGTCCAACTCTCATATCCCTATGTTGTTTCTTGGTCAGTGATGTCTGACTCTTTGCCACCCCTTCGACTGTAGCCCACCAGGCTCCTCTGTCCATGGGATCTTCCAGGCAAGAATACTAGAGTGAGTGTTCATTTCCTTATCCAATATCCCTGTGTGACTATGGAAAAACCATAGCTTTCACTATACGGACCTTTGTCAGCAAAGTGATGTCTCTGCTTTTTAATAGCAAGCATGTAATAATAAAGAATCTGCCTGCAAAGCAGGAAACCCAGGTTTGATCCCTGGGTTGGGAAGATCCCCTGGAGGAGGAGATGGAAACCCACTCCAGTATTCTTGTCTGGAGAATCACATGGACAGTGGAGCCTGGTGGCTACAGTCCGTGGGATCATAAAGAGTTGGACATGACTGAAGTGACTTAGCACGCATGCAAGAGAGGCTTGAGAGATGTGATTAATACGGCTTCTACAGAAAAAGGGGTTGTGT